GTGTGTGTGTGTGTGTGTGTGTGTGTGCATGTGTATGTATACAGTATATGTACAGTATATATATTTTTAACTTTGTAGTTTTTAGAAACTCATCCCCAGATACCAAGATTTATACATTTTTGTTTTCTGTTTGCTGATTTTTCAGCAACTCCTAAATGATTTATAGTATAATTAAACACTTCACCAACAGGAACTCCAAGAGACAAAACAAAGATTAATCATTTATTCTTAAAGCAGCAAAATATTACAAGTAAATTCATCTGTACAGTAAAACATTAGAGAAATATGAGCACATGGACGTCAGAAAATTGGACAAAATGTTGAGACACAGCAACATTGTGGACAGGAAGTACTAAGAGCACAGGCAAATCTGAGTGAAGAGGAGGAGGAAGAGCAAAACAAAGCAGGTCTGAGCTTTTGATATCATCTACAGTGAATGATCTGAACCGTCGAGCGTTATTTGTAAATATAATAACCGTATAGCATCACTGCAGACTTTGGTTCCCTTTGTTCCTCCACAGCACTGCTACTAGTGACAGTCTAAAGCCATTTTAACCAACAAACAGTTACYAATAGAAACGAGTGGTGAACCATAAATAAATGAGTTGATTCATGAGAACGTTACRAGGAACAGAAATCAATTTACAGAGTATATTGCTTAGGAACAAGTCAAAAGTTATGTACACAAGTCGTTAATGATTTAAATCAGCAAATTAACTTTATAACTACATGAGGTATGTTTTTGCCATTTAAACCAAATAAGAATCAAGTAATAACGAGTGCAAAGTGCAAGCAGCTTCAAAAAGTCTTTACAATGATCTGCAGTGCACTGGATTACTCAACAATACACAGACATATTCTGATCTGAACCGACTCGTGAACATTTTCTGCTCTACAGGACGACCTACAGTTAAACACATTACCTACACTAATAATCTAAATAAAAAAAGACATGATGTTGACAGTTAAAGAGCATTCTAGAAGGAGACAAAAACGCTAAAAAATTAAAATAAAAACTGAAAGGAATGGACAAAATGTTGCTCTTAAAGTGCAGTTTAAACGCAGAAGGAGTTCAAGAGGTATGGTTTGAAACTGGCTTCGGTGTCGGCTGGCTGTGATTTCCTCCCCAGATGTTAGAATCTGTCGCAGATGACGGTCTCGACCACAAACGTGTTTTCAAAGTGACGGATTCGATGACACCTTTTTGTCTCGCGCCTTTCGATACCTGGAAGAGAAGAAGAGACGTGCTTAGATTAAAAAATGAAACAATCTGTGACAGCACTGAGACAGATTTGATTTGACTGTTGCCTACGGGGGCGCCCGGTTTGAATCAGCAGCAGAGGTTCCCACGGTTTCATCCTTTTATGTATCTAACCGTGTGTGTGTGTGTGTGTGTGTATGTGTGTGTGTGTGTGTTTGTGTGTGTGTTTGCTGCATCATTTCTGGAGAGCTTGTCGCACCAATCGAGGGCGGCGACGACACAGTTATCATTCGTGCGCATCACTGCCTCCTCCGCAGCGTGTGTGGATGTGTCCACAGCACTGTGAGTGACTCACGCAGGAGGACGTTCCCAGGCCGTACCCACACACACAC